TGTCATAAAATGAGCAACCAAAGCATCGAGCACACGGTATGGCAGTGCATATTTCTTCTCAATCAGTAACTTTATGAAATAACTGCACAAACAGATCTTGAATGTTAAATCTATTACAAATTGCAGTCTCAAAAAAAGTTCTTTCTAATGAGAGAGATTCCATCGGACTAATTACATTACCCTAGTTAACGATGAAACAGATGAAAGTAATTTCATCTTCTATTATTTTTTTTTTTTTTCTAAATCACAAGCTGCTTGAAAGCGGAGAAAATCCCGCAAGGATATGAAACTGTTTGGCACGTTATCATTCACATAAACTTTAATAGCATGTTGTTTACAAAATAATTCCTTCACATTCAATTCATATTCAAAATCTGACTCAACTTTAACTCAACTCAAATGAATATTATCAAATAAAACAAACCAATCATTCTTACAAATCACATCAACTTCAATTCAATATTCATCCACTCACATAATTTTAACTAACTATCACTTCGCACCATTTCCCTTCTACTTTTACATCAAATCAACTTTAGTTATTTTAATATAAAATCAAAATCCCACTAACGATTAACCATCCAACTTTTTCAAAATTAACCCTGGTTAAATGAAAAAATTCATTTTGAACGAATTTATTTGTAAACAAGCATGCCTTAAGAGTTCTATACAAAATAATACCTCGTTGTACCATAGTACTCCATCTCTGCAAGCTTCAGCAGTGCAACACTGCAATCAGAAAAAGAGATTAACTCAATCGCAATAAAGGCAAGGCTTTTCTAGTAGTAATACCCGAATGGATTAAAGAGCTTTCCAAAAGAAAATTGGGCAAAGGTCAACAGCCACTTTATACCTCGAATGAAGAGGAGGAATGGAGATCTTCTCGATGATGCTCCCGACAATAACAGCCTCCCTCAAAGTGCATGTTCTTGACTGGAACAGAACATTAAAAATACACACCGATACAAGATTAATAACAACATTGTAAGAAACTCAACTCATTGGAATAAAAATGCACAACCATAAAAATCAATATTGAGAAACGAAAATGTGCTAGAAACCAAAGCGGGTATACGTAATCGCAAACTCCCTCTAAACTTCAAAAACTAATATACCTCACACAACGGGAACAAGATTCCCTTATTGAAAGCAGCTGGTTTGTACAGAGCCTTTTTTAAGGATTGATACAGGGCAAAATGCAGCCTTCTATTCTTCCGAATATCTTCTCTCACGCGTGGCAGCAAGACAAGCCTGTAGAAACGCTCGACCTTCTTGACGCCCAAATTTGAAGCAAATATTCTCGTTGCTTGGTACATTGCATTTGGCGACCACTTCTCAGGTTCAGTCAAATACAAGACTTCCTCCCAGAATTGCACAGAAGCTATGTGCTTGAAAGCTTTTGGCATCTTGCCGGAGGTGTACTTACTGAGCAGCTTCCCAACCCTGCAAATATCCATACGCAACGCAATATCCATAAAAAAAACCAGTGTTCGTATTCCATAAATACAAGCATGAGAATAGAAAATGGACATTATGCCCAAATTGGATTTTCAAAATTGTTGTCATACCCCTTGTACAGCTCTATGATTGAGTCATCCAATTTTGGCATTGGCTGCACACCTACAAAGAAAAGACACCAAACTGAGTGTTTCTTATAATTTGGATACACTACAAGTACAACTCGCACCCCACCAACATACAGAAAACTGATAACAGAAGAAACTGGGTTTTTTAATAATGAATTGTCATGGATTGTGACTATAAATAAACTTTAATATATATTAGACGTTCCACATCCTGGCTTGGAATGCTAACTAGGATCAGGAAGTTAATTGATACAAATGAAAAAAGACCTCAAACCTGAAATTTGAGCATCTTTTTCTTTAATTTTCTCAACTATAACATCAGCCAGCGTGCGTTGAGGGCGATCATCCTTTGATAGGAAAGCTTCCAGCAACTTTTCGTCTTCCTCATCAATGTTATCCTATTTAATGAACAACAAGTCGGTTTATTTGAAACAGAGCTCAAAGTGAATATAGAAAGAAAGGAACTTTCACAACTTCAATAGCACTAGATTGACAATCGCAATGTCCGAGACGAACTAACAAACACGTACTTCAATTACCATTCATCCCTTTCACAGAACAAAATAATTCGCAAGCATATACTAAAGCCACTCTAATCCTTACTAATCAAAAAAATGAAAATTGCACCACATAACATATATATAAACCAAGGGGCAGAACACTCATACTTAAAACAGGCAATCAATAGGAAGCTCGGTTTCATCACCAAATCAAAAAACAAAAACAAAACAAAAGTAACCAACCAACATATTGCCTGCCACGAACAGAAACATCAGAAAGATAATACCTTTAGTCTCCAATAAACAATAAAGAGAAGAAAATGAGAGCAAACCTCAAATTTTCAACAGTCCAACCAAACATCAACAATAAAGAGAAGAAATTGAGAGCAAACCTCAAAATCCCACTGTCCAAAGTGACTTTGGGTCTCGGAAAACCCATCAAAATCATCCACATCCTCCTCATCGTCCTTGTCCTTAAGGCCCTGCACGTTGGTTAGCACGAATTTATCACCAGGGTTCTGCTCGGCGAGGTTTTTTTCGTCATCCTCCTCGCGCTGGATCTCCTTCTGCTGAAGCAAGGCCTCTTTTAGTATCTTGGAGCTGACGGAGGAGGGGACGAGCTTCTGGTGGGGCTGGTGGGGCTTGGGCGGCTTGGCGCGCTTCTTGCCGGAGAAGGCGTCGGAGCCCAAGGGCAAGAACGGCTCAGGGTTCGTTATCCGGCCGCGTTTCTTGGAAGACATGGCTGGCGAATGGTGATGGCGGGCCGCGACCAAAAACCCTAAAAGCACTTTCTTTAAACCTGTTGAATGAATTCAGTCTTCACCTCTACTGTATGACAGCCCCGTAACCGTCTTTTTTTTTTTTTTTTTCTTCTTTAAATTCCTAGTTTTTCATTCAGACCCTCAAAAAACACAACCTAATTTTATATTTATGTTAAATATCAAACTCTCAATAGTCACACAATATCATCCACTCGCAATAATATACAAGTATATTTTTTCAATAATAGTGTATATTTTCATATATTACTAAAACATACTTAAAAATAATGTAAATAAAAATATGATATTTCTTAATATATATATGTATATATGTGTTTTATTAAGTTGCATCACACAGTAATTCATTCTTACAAAATATTCTTCTGGGGATCCTATAAAAACTATAAGATGAGACATTAATAATGTGTTCTAAATAAATATTTATTATTTCATACGTAATACATATTTTTATATCATGGTATAAAAATTATCTATATTTTGTTAATTTGAATTTGGATTATTATATTATTCGTGGAAATAAAAGCATTATTATCTTATGAATTGATTTTGTCACTAAAACAATCTTAGTTTAATAATCATATCATTTCTATTTAACATTTTTAAACATAATTTTCTATTCAACATTCAGACAATGTCGCTTGATAATCGGACAGCGTCCACAAAAATTAGTTGCTAATCGATCTGATTAACAGAGAACAATATATATATATATATATATTGTGATTAAGCATATCATAAGACTTACTATTTTTTTTTTTGGTACAATAGACGGAGGCCAAAGCCTAAAGAACCTCTAAATGGTTATATTCCGTGGTCGAGCGACGCCAACAACGTCGTGAAGGAGCCACGGTTTCACCTCCAGAGGTGATTCAAACAATCTCTGATAACCTACAGGACACGTGTGTGCCAGATTAGCTAGACAGTCCGCCGCATAATTAGCTTCACGATAGCAGTGAAACACCTTCACGGATCACTCCATTCGTAACAAATCTTGAATGGCCCTAACAAGTCCATCGTTCAACCCACAACTCTCATCCGAACTATTCGTTACCAAACTAACCACACTTTGATTGTCTACTTCTGCCACCACTTTGCGACATCCCAATTCCCATGCTAGCCGGAGGCCTTGAAATAAGCCCCAGAGTTCGGCTCCAGTAATGGTAGCATAGCCAATATTCATTACGAACCCCCTAACCAATGTCCTTCCTCATCCCGAACAAGGCCACCCGCCGATGCCATCCCTGTAGACCGAATTAAAGATCCATCCGTGTTGATTTTAGTCTCGCCCGACAAGGGTGCACTCCAAGCTATCCATTTTGCTTGACGTCCCACAAACAAACCACCTAGCCTTTTCTCGGCCTCGACTGCATAATCAATATTCTTCGTGTATTGGCTTATTTCACGAATCTTGTGCGGGACAATAACTTCACGGCCAGAAAAAATTAATTCATTCCAGCCATTCCAGATTTTCCATGCTGTCACCCCAAAAATCGTCTCCCAGCCTTCCACTTGTACAATCATCATGTTTGTAAGAACTCTTCATGTCGTGAAAAAAATTTTCCAAGTAAAATGTCACAAAAGCCTTCTTATGTAAAAAAACAGACCCATATAGTTTTGGTTGTTGGCTAAGTCCGCATACTAAAAATTATTGTCCCACATATAATGTAACATTTCGGGTAAGTGATTTTTAACCGTTGAATCAACACTCACTGCTCACTACACTCACTGATAGAATCGAACCTATCAAAGATAGTCCCTTTATAACTTCCAAAATTTCTCAAAACATGAGAGATCTAGGACCTTGAAAAGAGCACGAAAAACGGAACGAGCATTTTTCGATACTATATGCTACATGCAACATTAGTCTATTCAACAAATAGATCCTTATAGCATACAAGGATGTCTTGTAAAGTGCACAGTACATACAAAAATAGAAAATAGTACATTTGAGCAAATTCAAGTTGGAAAGTTTAAAGAGGCCAAGTCAACAGAAAGGAAGAGCACGAGTCTTTTCACTTCTTATAGCATAATGCGATTGTGAATACTTTTGCACGAACATCACAAGACTCCTGCCAGATAGACAAACCCAAATCAAATTCAGAGTTCACGAAAACTAATACGGAGAATTGTAATTACAAAAAAGCCCCTGCGGATTAGCCTAATTACAGAAACCTCAGTTATCTTGAGATATTAAGATCACCAAAAACCACCGTCAGGTTAGTGTGCCTATCAAATACCCCACTCTTTTCGAGGGTACAATCAGCAAAAGATAAACCAATGCTACATTTGAAAGATAACTTGAGATTTCTCCCATAAGCCTATTAACCTTAGATAAGTAATTTGTACACAACTAGACCATACCGAATGTCAACTTTATCCAAACATTTGGACGAAATAAACAATTAAAAAGACAAAAGAAAACGAATGTGTTTACCAGTAATTCACTTTCATTTTTTTTTTTTATAAATTTAGACAGTCCTGCACATCAGCTGGAGTATTGAGATATAACCTGCAAAAGCAATGCTCTCATGACAATCATCCGGCAAAATGGATAATTTAATGGCCACAAGCTAACTATATTTAGTTTTGATAGCAGGGCAAGGGGTAGAAAAGGATTT